TTGGGGACGTCACAACTGGTGCCGTGCTAGATCAGGATAGAACGTCACAGTCGGCGCTGCGACCGGGGGACGACGTCACACCGTATTAAATTCTCCTTTTAATCCGGGTACGCTGTACCCCACAATTCCTACAAAGGAATGAATCAAAGAATCGTATTTTGTTACAATTCCTGCAATCATGCCAAAATGCTAGTCCAGAAATGATGGCTCTTGCCTTGGTCCATGGAAAAGAAAGTTTGCTGTCTTGGAGGTCCGTAATTTTCTATGACTCCAGAATAGACATCACTGAGGAAGCAATCTTGTACACATTACATGCGTACTAAACGAATATAAATTGATACATCTGAATCTGTGTCTTTACTACAACGTTTCGATCGTTGTACACTCCGGCTTTCCACGGGTGTCTACCCCATTCCGTAACCTTTTTATATGATTCAACTTTTCCATAAAAATCTTTCTCCGTAACCCGTCAAGCATCACCTATATATAACAGGATTTATCCATTTCAAATTGTTTCATTTCATTTTCACCTTGTCTCTTTGGCTTATTTTTTAATTATTTCAATACATGCATATACATTAAAGGAACATATATGTGTATAAAATAGGATATAGAATCGAGACAAAGTCTGAAGAATATGACAAATGGAAAACCATTTCATTGATCACGCTTCGACTTTACTAGGCTTCATCAGATCAAAAACGAAAGAAAAAGGTGTGTGTTTAAATAATGAATCGTTAAGATATTTTCTGCTAAGCTGACGTTTTTTGAGATGAAAGAAAGAAAGAATAAAATTGTGAGATTTTTGTTTTAAAAAAAAAGCTGTTATTTTTATTCCGTTATCTTTTCTTTGCAATTTTATCGTTTTTGTTTAAATTTATGCATAAAATTGGGAGAATTTATAAATAAATTTCAACAAAAATGATAAAATTGCAAAGAAAAGATAACGGAATGAAAATAAGGGAATTTTTAACAAAACTCGCACAATTTTATTCTTTCTTTAATCCCGAGAAACACCAGCTTAGCTGAAAAAGTAATAAGGAATTATTATTTAAACACATAAACATATTTCTTTCTTTTGTTTTTGATCAGATGGCGGTCAAATAAGGGTGAAACGCGTAATCTAGTTTCAATGAAGTATTATTTTACACACCTTTCTGTTATAGAAAATTTGAGTCTGTCGAATTATCTTTTGCGATGACTCATTCTTGAACCGAACTTTTATCCGAAAGTTTTTCTTTTTATTCTTATGTTATTAAATGTTCTACGGTGCATGATTTCTATATAACAGGAAGCATTCGATTGAATGAAGAACATTTCATTCGTTAATATGCGTAAACAAATCGAGATCTGACGACGCAGTTCGTTCGTCCAATTATATATATATAAAAAAACTCTTTTCATTCAGTTTGAAAAGCAATTAACAATTTTTACATAACAATAATTAAACAATTTTCCCTTTCCTATGCGCAAGGTATTTCGAATATCTCCGGTTTTAAATACAGACATCGACTTGTAGTTTTTTTATCCCTTTTAATTTGATCTTAAATGCATTTATTCTGAATAACCATAGAAGCAAATTCAACTTAAAAGGGTTTATTTCTCGTGTCGTTTCATAGATTTTAATAACATACAACATTTGTCTACGCCATTTAATGAAATAACGATAAATTTATTTTGTACATTGACGAAAGCAAAATACAACGTAATGTTTTATTCATATTGTTAGTGCCACGAAATTACTTGGATTCGATCGTTGTTGCAGATCTCAGGTTATACTGTGGAGAATTTGATTGTTCAGGCGCGAGAAAATGCAATTTATTTACCTGCGTTGTTGTTAAAATTTTAATAAAATTCCACGATTTTTGTTCAGTAGTTAATATTTTACGGCTTATAAACTCTTTTTGGATTATTTAAAGCCGAAAATCATTTGGGATTGTAAGAAGTTTCTTACGGTACCATGTATTCTCAAACTGTCCCCATCTAAATACAGACGGGGCTTTATCAGTGAGTAGATATACCCCATATATATATATATATATATATATATATATATATATATATATATAATCTAACTTTATAAGCTATATATTATAATCTATATATATATCTATATCATATCATAATCTATATTATGATCTATATATATATCTATATCATAATCTATATATATCTATATCATAATCTATATTATGATCTATATATATCTATATCTATATCATAATCTATATTATGATCTATATATATATCTATATATATATAATCTATATTATGATCTATATATATCTATATCATAATCTATATTATGATCTATATATATATCTATATCATAATCTATATTATGATCTATATATATATCTATATCATAATCTATATTATGATCTATATATATATCTATATCATAATCTATATTATGATCTATATATATATCTATATCATAATCTCTCTCTCTCTCTCTCTATATATATATATATATATAATCTAAGTTTTGAAAATACGTATGAAAACTCTTACATTTGTAAATACCTAGATGATTCCGGGACCTTGTAGTTGCAATGCCAACGGAAAAGATAATACGGAAATTTGGTGTTCAACAACAGCGAAAGGCACTTTCAAGAAGCTGTTTCTGGTATTAAGGTAGTAAAAAAACCCATTAAAACAAGGAAAACAATGCTCTACTACCATAGGTTACCTCCCTTTGTATAAAAAGGCGAAACATAAAAAATTAGCCACAAAGGATCAAAAAAAAAAAATGAAGTAATTATGAAGAATTTGACTGTTCAGTTGGGAGAAAATGCAATGTACTTACCTGTGTTTTTGATTCTTACTAAGTAAAAGTGGTTTCGTTTTTATTAACTTTTTATACTTACAGGAATCGTGATCCCTTAAGTAGTTATAAGGGAAGTGCTTTTCTTTTTCCTTTTTTATTTTTACTTAATGCACGTTATTTAGACGGTCATATTACGTCGAGGAAAGGAATCTTATTTTACAACTAAAAGTCAATGCTTTTGATTCTTTTCCTCAGCCTGAACGGTCTCGAGATTTTAGTGGGTTGAGATTTTCTCGACATTTTCACTTGTTTTAAAAAATAAATTTTTCTCATTTTTATAACATATAACATCTGTCTACGCCACTTAATAGCGATGAATTTATTTTGCATATTGATAAAAGCAAATTACAACGTAATGTTTTATGCATCTTGTTAAAGCCACCGAATCAGTAGAACTCGGTCGTGGTTGCAGGTCTCATGTTATACCGTGGAGAATTTGACTGTTCAGACGGGAGAAAATGTAATCTACTTACCGGGGTTGTTGTTTCTTACGAACTAAAAGTGGTTACGTTTTTCATTCATTAATATGTGTAAACAAATCGAGATCTGACGACGCAGTTTGTTCGTCCTATTATAAAAACCTCTCTTTTCATTCAGTTTTAAAAAAAACAATTAACAATTTTTACATAACAGTAATTAAACAGTCTTCCTTTTTTCCTGTAGGCAAGTTATTTGGAGTATCTACGGTTTTATATGCAGACATCGAGTTGTATTTTTCTATCTACGGCAGTAATTTATAAAAGTCTGATGAGAACGCGTTGATACGCATCAAAACACGACTGCAATGTTGTAGCGATTTTGACATGTTTTTCGTTGTAATATCCTAAAATAAAGTGTGTGTGTATATATATATATATATAGTACGAGGCAAAATCTGGACGCACCCATAGAAAGTCGATTTTCGTATTTTTACCAAGTGAGTAATAGCAGCAGGAGTTGGTAATTTGTACAAAATCAATGGAATCATGGACTAACATCCATACCATACCATTCTTGTTAATCAAATGTGACTTTCTTCAAAAAGTTAACGCTTCACTTTCCAACACGATAACGATCCTAAACATACTGCCTTAAAGAATAAACATTATCTAGAGAGGAAGCGCGAAACGATGGTAAATTGCAACTCTTCCAGTAGCCTAGCCAGAGTCCTATCTTTGACACAACTGAGAACCTTTGAGCGATAATAGACAAGTGTGCCCGTAATAGGAAAGTTAACACAGAAAATGATCTTTTTTGCGAATTAAAGAAATGCTGGAAAAAAATCTGGCGACGGACGTTGACTTATTAAAGAATTTAGTCTATAGCATGCCACGAAGAATTAAGGCCGTTGTTAAAGGAATAGGTTGCCCATCAAAATACTAAATCATTTTTTGACTTGTATAATGTACATATGTACACCTGTATTAATAAACGAATTCTATTATTCACTTGTCTTGGTAAAAATACAAAAATTGACTATATATAGGTGCGTCCATTTTTTTTTTTTTTTTTATGGCTCGTACTGTATATAATACATAAAAGGTTAATGATCAGAGCTGAATTGGACCAGGAAACAGTAATATTAAAGTGCTCAATACACGTTAAAAAAAAATAACATGAAGAGATTTTAACTTCAAAAACTAGGAGATCAGTTGATTCCTCTATCTTGGTTTCAACCTTACGGTATCCTCGGGTGATTTTTATCAATTCTAAATAAATTGATAAAAATCGCCTGAGATTACCATAAGGTTGAAACAAGATAGAGAATCAACTGATCTCCTAGTTTTTATATATATATATATATATATATATATATATATATATATATATATATGTGTGTGTGTGTGTGTGTGTGTGTGTATAAATTATCAGCCTAATAATAAGAAAAAGTATTTAAATTATTTACTTTTTTAACGTAATCTTTCTTCGTTGTCAGTGCACTTAATTTAATAGGGAATATTAATCCCAAATATCGAAAAATATCGATTAAATTCAGGAAACTACAGATCAGGCGACGAAAGTATTAATGCATTCTCGCAAGATTACAAGCGTGGGTTTCCCAGTAGGGTTTGAACTCACAGATCAATCGTAACAATCTGCGAGGCCAGCTAGCAAACCATTATAATATAACGAGTTGCTGATCTCACGTGAATCTGTGTGAAATTCTTTTCTCCTATCAAACAACTAAGCATCAATAAAGCACCAAGAAATGAAAGCGACGGGTCGATGGATGGGCATCTTGCTTTGAGGGGACTACAGATCTGGCTATGAACGTATTGATGCATACTTTTACATTATGGGAGAGACAGAAAGAGAGGAAAAGAAAGAGAAAGAGAGGAAGAGAGCGGGGAAGAGAGAGTGGGGGGAGGAAGAGAGGGGAAAGAGAGAGGCGCATGGACGAGTGG